AATAATATACAGAAGCCTATGGAATCTGGGCTAATGGTTTGGTCAGCGTGCACTCTACTATAACGCAAGCCAGTTTCCAATTAGTTAGCAACCCCAAGTCCCTTAGCAACGAACTACCATCTATCCACATGGAAGGCGCCATGGTGTCCCATAGCTTTAATTCAGTTTCACCCCTAAACGTCTATATATTATTCCACTCAAGATACATGTTCTCCTATCTGCCGGAAAAGCTAACATTTTTCTTTCTTTTTAACTCTTCCTTTTTTTTTCTTTTTACGTGTATACAAGTATTATACGTGATTAATTGATTACTTTTCTCAACAAAAGAAAGAAACAAAAAAAAAAGAGTAAGGTAGAAAAAGTTAATGAAACAAACGTTTTATACGACCATCAAAATTTCTTTCATCTTATCCATTAATCTTATCCAACGTATTATCAAAAAGTTTTCTTGGACGTTTTTCTCAAAATTGAATAACCTTCTTTGTTATATCAAATGACTAAATGAAAGGACATGAAAAATTTATTTGATGGTGGTCAAGATGATGACCTCATTTTTTTGTGCGGAACCAAACGAATTGTATACACACAAAGGTGCGGTTTTTGCGACCAATTTGTTCGATAATGACACAGGAATTAGGTGAATTCGTGACGATAATTCTTACGTTTCGTGTTTGTTGTATATTTATTTATTATTTTATTCGATATATTTATAAAACAATTTAAATCATAATTTTTCTTTTTATCATAAAACCGTAAAACAATCGCAAGAAAAGAATGGTCAACAAAAAAAAGTTGTCTGATCGTTAATTTCCTTTTTTTTTATCCTTTTTCCTTTTGATCACAAGGAAAGAAAGAAAGGGACAAACTAATGCGTGACAAACTTGCGAAAGAGATATAACGGACGTGATCAAAAACCGCAAACTTTATTTTGCATTAGGCACACGACGTTAGGCCGATACCGATGATGATGATGATGATGATGTCACACATTGAAATACAAACGATGCAGACTAAACAACGAAAAGAAAAAGAAAAGAAAAAAAAAAGAATTAACAAGTATTGCTACTCTAACAGCTCAGGCTATCCTTTGGACACGTCATCCTTTCCCACAGAAAGTGAGAGAGTGAAACATTCTTATTCTCTCACATGATTCGCGTACTACGTAAGCATGCAGCAAGTAAACAACAGTAAACGCGGATAAGACTAGACAGCATTCTTTCTTTCATCAGTCTACAATTTCTATGAGATAGGAAAGTGCATAAATCAAAATACAAGATACCAGAAACATATTTACACTACGATTTCCATTCAAATATGATCAATGTTATGTAATTAGAAAAATATATGAATTTTATTGATAACCTAGTTTACAATTAAACGATTATATATATAGAAAAATAAATGTTTTTTAATTGAAATTTAGAAGACTAATATATATATATAATTAATTAATTAAGTATTAATTAATTAAGTAATTATTATATATATTATATTGTTATATAAATAAAATAAATTATTTAATAATATTTATAAAAAATTATTTTATAATATTTTATTTTATAATAATATATAATTTTATTTATTTAGCAATATAATAATATTTATAAAAAAATATAATTTATAAAATAATATATTATATAAATTATATTTAATATTAATAATTATATTATATAAATATAATATATTTATATTGTATATATATTATATACTAGTGTTATAATAAACAATAAAAAATTGAATGAATGAATTATCTTGTATAGTAGATTTTGTTCTATTCGCAATCGCAAGAAAAAAAAAAGAGTAAAGTAAGCCTAAGAGAACAAAGATTATAACTTTATTTAAACAAAAATCTTGACGTTTATCGAAGGTAAATAATACTTCTTCGAAATCTTAAAATATTTGATTATAACGAGAGACACGTCTGTGAATAAAGTTTAAAGAGAAGTCGTCGTTTTATTGGCATTGCGGTTTGAAAAATACGCAAATATCTTAACCGCAAATGTAATTTTCTATCTACCTTTCTCTCTGTCTATCTTGATCTTTGCTAACAAGATTACTCATTATTATTGGTTACACGCAGACACGCATAACGTTTACACATATATCAAATAAATATAGATGTGTGTGTGTGTGTGGGTATGTGTCTCACGGTTCATGACGAATCATTTAAAAATAAATTGGAACGTACATTTGAGTACTTTGACTGATGATAAAACGTTCTAGTTAGCTAATATACTCTTCTAATACTATTGTGTCATTTCTATTATAAAAAGGTTGACTTAGTTTTAACCAGAGGTATCAAAAAAGCAAGCAAGCGAATAAGTAAGCGTATGAAAGAGAAAGAGGACGTCTACGTTTAAAATTATCGATGTATATATTTTTGGTTTTTCAAGAGAAAAAAAGAAACTTAGGAAAGAGAAAGAAAGAAAAGTCACAGTTGTCTCTCTGCACTCTGACATTTACCCAAGTTATATTATATACATACGTGAAACATACACAACGCGGTTAGAATTTACGATTCGTCCTGTGATTTATGTGATATAAAGGTTGACCGTTTTGTATCACACCGGATATAATATTATATATGCTAAAAATATGTATTATTCCGTATATCTTGGATCTTATTAGTGAAATAATGTTACATGATGAATATATCTATTGTAGAATCAAACAAAATTTTTAATTTCTACTTTTTTTTTTTAATTATTATAATTGCGTTTAAATAACTTTCTTTTAAATAATTATCTTGACTTATATAATATATACCTACACGATTCGGTATGATTCACAAATGAGTAATTTTTCCTATTTTACTAAAATATCTGTGGTAATAATTCATATTTTTCACAAATAATATTTTCTTAATAATAATACGGACTTATAATATTTTTTTAGATTCAAATAATTAAGTAA